TCTTTCCCCACTTGGCACATGGTAGGGAATCAGCTGACCCATACCTGACCAAAAAGAGTTCTCCATGCCTTTACCTAAAGGGAATTCTAAGAGACCAATCAATCTCATGCCTGAGGTTTAATATAGGAACATTGGGAAAGAGATCTCACTTTTTTTAGGATTGCAAATTATTAAGACATTATAAATTGAAGCTGCTTGAAGCTATCTTTGCCAACTCCAAGGAGGAAACTGTCTGAGATAAGATATTTGGAGCCAAAGCACAAAAAGCAGCAGGGACAAGCAAAAATGAGAGATGGGAAAAAAAAGTACTGCTACATCTTGGACCCTAGTCCCAATTATGCCTGAAGCATCTGAATTACAGTCAGCATCTGAATTACCATATGCTTTCCTAAAAATCACTGCACTGCAAAGTTGCTCAATAAAAACCACAGTGCTTTTGGAGGAAATGGAGCTAGGAATACAACATTCAAAAATTTTGTCAGTGATACATTCACTAAAAGATAGGAACCTAATGAAAATGGTAGTAACGTTTTACGCATATTAACTGGTTAAGAACTGCGTAAATATTAAAATAAGGCCCTTTATTTTGAAAAAAAGCATGAAGTTTGCTTGTAGAAATGGGTGTCAGAGGGGATGCAGTTTGTGTTATTATAAAGCAGTTGGGAGGAGGGTTATCTGAAATAAGATGGAAAGTTTTAACACTAGGTGAGGAAGGGTGCGATTCTAAACACATAAAATGAACTGAGGTAGCTGGTAGATGTCTGAGGTAGATATTTGTCAGTGTGTGTGTTTTGTGTATTTCCATGTGACTTTATTCAGTTAAGTAGTTTTCTGCTTTTAACTAGTGTTTATGGCTGACAAAATTGCACATGAGCAAATGCAAAAATTCTCAAATATTTCTCTAATATATTAATGACAAGGGAACAGATAAGTGTTGTAACAGTGCATATTTGATTATGCAAGTGAATACATTCTTTTTTGTTGTTGCCAGTTAGCTTTCTTCTAGAGTCCAGAACTGTAATACACAATTACATAATATTCCATTACACAAGAGTGACACCTTTTAAACCCTGGTTCTGCTGTGTCTCAACACATTTCTAGACTATCTTACTCTACTGAAAATTCATTTTATAACAACATAGGCCAGCAGTAAGAAGACACAAAGATTCCAAGGCCAAATAGAAATAACTCCTTTTTGATATTTATGATACTATCTTCAACAAAATGTTGTGAAAAGATACTTGAGGGGTTGGTCATGGTAATATTTTATGGTGGACATGATATATTTTTTTCATGGTTCTGATACCTCAAAATCCATAAAACTCCCAGAGATTACATCAAATTTATGTCAATATTTTATCTCAAATATCCTAACCCTGAGTTATCACTTTGGCTCTGGTTGGTAACAAAAACTTACATGTATTGGTGTTGTGACTAACGTTCCAGTGATAAATTTGGGGGTAGAACAACATTGGTGCAAGAAATATTGCCAGTTTGTACTATTCTCTCTATGAAGAGATCAAGCATCTTACAGATTGTTCCATCTACTGGCTGTGACATCTAGCTTTTGAAACTCCTAAGTAGTATTTGGGTTATGCAGATAAGGAAGCATACACTGTTTTCTTAAACCCACTTAAGACTTAGACTTATGTTTTTTTTTTTTTTAAGATTTATTTATTTGTGCATACAGAACTAGGGTATAGGCCAGAGGCTCAGGGGTGGCGAGAGGATTCACCAGAGACAGAATGGGGAGCAGAACAGGCAGATCAACGAAGTACACTGCTGAGGGGAGCAGCGGGCGGGTCAGGAGAGGTCTGCCACGCCATGTAGTTACCTCCGGGGCAGGCAGGGATCGAACTCATGCGGAAGTGGCTTTAGCTTCTCAGTGCTGTGCTTTAACCCACTGCGCCACCAGGGAGGGCCAAGACTTAGACTTATGTTGTTTTTATAGTCTCTGGGAATGAGACAGATGAGAAAAGGTTTTATCCTCACTTTTATCTGTATGTATGATGTTGCAGAACTAACAATTCCATTGTGAAATAAGTGCAAATAACTATTTGAGTTCTGGGATACCCGAGAACACAGTATCCTCTCAAAAACTAAATAGTTTAGGCTGTGCAGGCCATGTAGCCTCTGTCCGAAGTACTGAAATCAGGCACATACAATACATAAACAAACAGCTCTGGCTGTTTTCCAATAAAATTTCATCTACAAAAACGGATAGCTCTTCTGGTGTACATAACATAATAACTCCTACTTTGAACTAGTAGTTTCCACGGTGGGTTTTTTCTTTTCTTTTTTTTAGAGCCTTGCAGCAGTCTGTGACAATTCAAGGAAGGTCATTCAGACAGCACCTGAATTATCATTGCTTCAACAAGAAGTTTTATGATACATGGACTTTCTTTTCTTTTTTAAAAAAATATTTGTTTATTTATGCATACAAGAGCTAGGGTGCAGGCCAGACCTGGGGGTGGGGGTGGGAGTGAGAAGATTCACCAGAGGTAGTATAAGGGATACAACTGGCAGACTGATTGAAATACACTGCTGAGGGGAGGAGCAGGTGGGTCAGGAGAGGTCTGCTGTGCAGACCTGGCTAGGAGCTAGGGATCCAACTCATGCTACAGTGGCTGCAGAGAGATTCATAGTGCTGCACTTCAACCCATGATGCTATCAGGGAGTCCCTGATACATGGACTTGCACATAAAATTAAGTTTGATACAAAGGTTCAATTACTAATAAAGTGTCATTGCCTTAAAGTGAACTTAGAACTTTGCAACTCAAGAGCAGATGTTTCAGGCAAAACAAACATCTTTGGGGTGGGGGCTCTCTGGTGACACAAGGGTTAAAGACTCAGCATGATCAAGCTATCACCAGCCACCTTAGCATGAGATTGGTCCCTGGCCAGGGAGCTAGCCCACAGGGCTCAACAGACCTCTTCTGTCTCTTCCACTGTCTGCTTCAGCAGTGAATTTCAGTTAGTCTGCTTGTTCTGCATCCTACTCTCTCTCTTTGGTGAATCTAGTCTCTTTGCCCCCCCACCCCCACACACACACCTCTGGCCTACACCCTAGCTCCTGTATGCATAAATAAGTAATTTATTTTTAATCTTTAAAAATGATGATAGGAATTACATGTGTTTTGATGCTCCCAGAAAGTCACTTACTTTCCAACTGACACGTGTTGAGACAACATCAATAACTCTAAAAATGTTATAAGTTTAACATTCTTATTCTAAGTAAATATTTAAGGTAGCTTAAATGGTTCAAGAGAGGTAATATGATCTAATGAAAAAAAGAAAGAACCAAATTAGGACTCTATATTTGTCTACATTGCTAGATTATGAGCTCCTGAAAGACAGGAACTAAGTTATCTTCCTCATCTATGAACTGTCCTCTGCATCTAGAACAGTACATGGCAACACGCTTTAACTTTTAAGGCAAATATAAGTTCACTATTGTAACACAGAAGAGAATAAATTCAGGTAGCTTCTTTACTTCATCTTTCCATAACACACAAGGAAAAAAGTACTATGTTTCCTAGTGAGTAACAAAAGAAAATTTCCTGTGAGATACATTTGTTAGTTAGGAGATTAACAAGTTAACATGTTTAAAACACATAAAACCTAGTAATGACTAGATTGTGACAAAAGTCATACCTTCACAGGGATCCATGAATCCCTCATCTGATATTCTAAAATCCAGAAAGCTTCGAAAACCAAAAAAAAAAAATTGTTGTTGCTGTTTTTTTAGTAACTTATTTGAGGGTCAAATTGATCTAACCTAATTTGGCAGTAGGGCCTGACCTGAACTGAAGGAGGATATTTACTGGTATTTATTAACTCTGTATGAATAATCATAGGGTTTGCTGCAAAAATATCACCATACATGAGTTACCATTTTTCCTGAACCCTCTGTTCTGTTACAGAACATACAGTTTATGACACTTGGCTTTACACAACTCTACCGAACCATGCCAGATTCCTCTACAAGGAGAACTCTATTGTTATGATCTGGCTTCTTCGTTTTTTTCTGTTGCCATATTGCACAGTAGTTCAGGCCGCACAAAAAGCTCAGGAAAACTGTCCTCATTGTTAGCAATGAGGAAAAATGTGCTTTGTGATCATATAGAAAGTCAATGTTATCACTCTAATGGTCAACGATCCTATTGTTTAAGAAAGAAGAGCTTGGGTTTTTAAAAAGCACTTTTCTATTTTTATCCTTGAACAATGGGCAGTCCAGGCTCAGCATCAAATTACCAGCTCTTAGCCTTGCACAAGTATCTGCTCAATATATATTTACCATTTGGCTGTCTCACACCTTGCCCAGCATATAAGAACTTTTCTCACATTAAGTGTGGGCAGCGACGGATATTTGGAGTGGAATCGCAGAGGAAAAAGTAACCACCGGAGGCCTTTTCCTGGCTCCGCTCCAGCAATAAATCCATCATTACTCCGGGGAACTGGCACACTCCCCATGAGTCTCTCGTGGATCCCACCCTCTGGCCCGCAGGATCATATCTAGGGATCTCAATTAGACACTTCGTAGCACATAGGGCGGGTTATTCCTGTAACACTGGAGGTGGCTGACTTGCCTATGCCGTAGGGTGGGATATTTGGTGCTTAGAGGAACTCAGACGGCGTAAATACAAACCACGAAGCCACCCTCTCCCGACAACATGTCCTCATAAGAGAAAAGCAGACCGAAAAGCACCCCTTGGAAAGTGCTTCTCTTAGGAAAGGAATAGTGGGTGAGACAGCCTGCCAAACCCCACCTACGTTGGGCTCGCGCGCTCAGAATCGGGGAACCACGCCGCCCCAGCACAGGTTCAATACGCCTCCCTTGGCGAGGCGCATCTCCACCCTCCCCAGCTACTTCCGGCCCTCCCGAACGCCTCGCAACGCGCTTGCGCCGCTTTGATAGGCTTGTTGGGCAGAAGAAATCCGAGCGCTGCCTCTCTGGAACCGCCCCGTCTCCTCTTCGCCCCGCCCCCGCTCCACTGTCCCCTCCCGAAATCTCGCGAGGGTAGGTGAGCGGCCGTACTTTGCGGGCCACTAGCTCTGCCAGCTGCTGTAATTGCCGCTGCGGGAGAATTTGGAGCTGCTGTCGTCGGCGCTCCCGCCCTCCCCCACTGAGAAGGGCCACCGCCTCTTGTCTTGCTCTCGTGGTACACCTATCGCCGGGAGCGACGGCAGCTACTGGCCCTGGACCCACCGCCGCCTCTTCAGACAGCCGCTCCGCTGTTCATTCCCGCAGCCCGGCAGCGGAGGGCGGCCCCTTGCCCCTAGCCGGCTCCTCACTCCGGATCGTCTGCGCCCTCCTCCTGGCCCGGACCCTTCTCCACACGGCCTCGCCGGGGTGGAGGACGAAGACGAGGAGACGAGAGTCACCCTCCCTCCAGGAGGCGCCGGCCCCCTCACCCGCGGGTGTGTCCTATAAATGGCGTCGGAAAGCGACACCGAAGAATTCTTTGATGCCCCTGAAGATGTGCACCTAGGGGGCGGCTACCCTGGAGGGTAAGTAACTGGAGCTGTGTGGCCCAGAAGCGGGGGTCTCAAACCCCCGACTTCCCTTTTGCCTTCCCCCGACACCCCTCCCAGGTCCCTCTCTGTCCGCCACCGCGGTTCCTCCGGTCTCGGGCACTTCACTGTAAGTCGGGGGAGGGGGAATCGACCCCCTCGGCTCCGGGTGCTCGCCCCGGGTCTCACGGAACCCCCTTTGAACGTCTCGATCAGCTTGCTGCGAGGTGGGACAGCGTCCGTGCCCGAGAGCCGGCGATCGCTAGTTGTGGGGTCCAGAGCTTACCCTTGGAGCATCCGTTGTGGCCCTGGGGGCCATAGATTAAAGGAATAGTTACAGAAGAAATTGGCATTTCCCATTTCGTTCTTTCTCTCGCCGCAAACTCACTCGTTTCAGAGGTAGCTGTAACTTTCCCCCCTTTTGCTGTCCTCTTTTCGTTCACAGAAAAGCAGCGACGGATGGGGGGTGGTTGGGGGAGTTGGAATGGTTAGTCGGGTAGTTACTTAGAAAGTCCTCCAGCTGATGCATTCTAAATCTACCGTGTTTTATTAAAGTAGCACCTTACCGTGATGCAAAGGAAAGCGAAGACAAGGTCCTTACCACTTGGGAGAAGGCAGTCTCAAAGGGTAGCCGGACATAAATGTACAACCGCCGACTACAGAGATACAAACAAGTGCTGAGTAATCTGGTGATTGGAAGGAAAGCCACAGCTTTGTGCTCTTTATCTAATTCGACGAGATGTTTTAGTAGTGATTAATATGGGAGATTCTTAGTGGGAAGTGAAGTACTTGGAATGCTTCACTTGATTGGGACTTCTACGTACTCCTCCACTATGCAAACTTGGGATAATGTTTAAAGTGATTTCGTCGAACTCTTCTACAAACTTGTGTGGAACTAGAGGCACTGAAGTTTATGTGCATGCTGTTTAAGAACTTGAGAATTGGTAAAGTTTGTATGTTAATGTATGTCCCTAATATGGCTCCAGGAGTTCAACTGCCTTCAATTCTCACACTTAGCTCGCGCAAGAAATAATTTATTTGATGCAAATTAAGGTGTCCGTGCATTCTAGAAGTTCTTCTAAAACCTAACATACGTAACCTATACCCAAAAAGTTACAGCAACAAAATCAGAAAGAAATCTATGTTCATAGATGGCAGATGTGTGTTTTTCCACCTACTTTGATACCACTGTTATGGGATGTGGAGGTGACATTAGCCAGTCTTGAGATGACACTGAATCTCTTTCAAGTTCAAGATCAGAAACAAGTTCATAACTAGAGGATAGAGAAAATACGTTTGGATTTCCAAATATATTAGTTTAAATTAAATTTTATTTTTGTGGTTTTCCCCGCAAAGTGGTGACCTCTCAATTCAGGTTAAATGAGAGCTCCAGTGCTTTAATATTTGTGTGTGTGTGTGTGGAGGGTGAAAAGAAAATAATAATTGATGTATATGATTGTAATCAATGTGGAACTATGTGAATATTGTTCCTTTTCAGTGACTAAAACTAATTTTGAAAGACAGTTATCAGGACCTGTAGTACCTGGCACATTGAAAGAGGGCAAGTGTTCATTTTCTTCCTTTATTGGAATTAGCAAATTTAACTTCACAGTGCTTACTCTTGAGAGGAAGTATGCAGTTTAACTTATCTAAACTAAGTGAGTCATTTTGATAGGTTTGATAGTCACTTCTTCCCTCACTGGTTAATATAACTATTCAACCACTTTGATCCTTTGTTATTAGGTGAGAAGTGAAAAAACATCTCTTGGCACTCAGTGTTCTAATTTAACTGTAACCTGCCCAGATACTGAGTGTGTTGAACTCTATGAGTAAAAAACTACAGTGTCTGTCTAAATTTTATGGGCTCCATCCTGGATTAGTGAGGAAATTTGGAAGAGAATTCCATTCAGTGGAGAATTGCATATGAAAAGAACTAGCGGAACTGGGAGGACTAAAGGTTGCATTAACATTTCCTCTCCCTGAGGAAGGTACGTAATTTGCATAAAATACTGGGAGGAGAGTTGATAGGTAAATAACAACCTAGAAACGCACTAAGAAATCTTAATGGAAAAATGTCATTACCTATCTGGACACTAGAAATATCATCTGTCCTTTATGTGAACTAAAGGGGTCATGCCGTATACAAGCTGCAAGCCGGTAACAGTCTATTTTGGGCACTTAAAAATGTTTTTTTAATGTTTCATGTACATCAAATTGTGGTAAACTGAAGAGACAGTTGAGTGTTATCAACAGAATCCAAATACACATTTCATCTCCTAAAATGGGTCTATTTGTTAACAACAATGTCTTCAGCTTTGTTATTCTATCCTTTGAAAGCAAGTTTAGTAAGTTAAAGATCAGCCCATTTTTTTTATACAAAGACTTGATTCCAGTGCAGCCTATTTTTCATATTGACAGATCATCTCCACTTCCCCAGATTTTCAATATATACCACATTAATAATGCTTTATTTGATTGATATTTTAGGTCAGTTTTCCTTATTTTTTCTCAGTTTTTACATATGAAGAACCTTAGGCTCAGAGAAGTTAATGAATTGCTCTATTAGAAAAAGTAGTGACAGAGCTGGGATTTGAAACCAGTTTTTCAGACTCCGAATCCAGTATTTTTGCTAGTACATTATAGCTGTCTCGCTATGAGAGACATAGAGAGTTTATAGAGTGTAACCTCCTGCAAGAAATGGTGGAGAAATAAAATGCTTTTGAACTAATTTGCTGAATTGAACTGCTGCATCTATTTAAGACCAGCAGTCCAAACTTTTTAGTTCTCTTGGCTAGAAATTCCCACTTTCCCTTTCAGTAATTTTATAAGATCACAGCATGTTAGAGCTAGAATTTCTTAATATAAACAATAAAAACCAAAGCCTGGTGGGGAAAGTGACTTGTACCAGGTACTGTAGCAAATTAATGGCAGAGATAGGACTATAACCCAGATTAGTTTCACACTGTAGCCTTCTTTCTGTTACTGTGCTGTCTTGACAAAGCAGGAAAGGGAGGAGGAAGTGTCGTGTGCTAGAAAAAAAAAAAAAGCCCTGAGCTATGAGTCATTTCATTTCCTCATCTTTAAATTGAGATTATACTCTGAGAATCTTTACAACTCTAAAATTTAGTCTGTCATTATAATTAGGTTTAATAGTGTTTTTTTGATAAGCTTTTTTTCTTGGGACATCTTTCCATTGATTTTTCATTTTACCTTTTAGTATTAAACTCAATATTTGGTACAGGATTTAAGACCTATAGATTTGAAATTAATCCTTCATTGGGTAAATTATATTTATGAGATTAATGTTCCTGTTAATATGTATAGATTTTACATAAACATACTAAGAACATGTTATAAAAATAAATGTGACACTTTGAATATTTCTTTAGTGGTAGCCAAAGTAGTTTTTGAAGCCGTGGAAGGAAGGATAGAATGGTAGCATTTTCAGAGAAGGAAGGGATTTGAGATCATTTAGCCCAGCCCTTCCATTTACCTGAAAGAGAAACGTAGGCTCGGGGAAGAGAAATACTGTGTTGCTGACTACTGGCAGATTTGGAATTAGGACCCAAGTCTCTTGATTTCTTATTTAAACCTTGTTGCTCTGTCTGTGGAAGGAGGGGAAGTATTGCTGGGTATCCTGCTCCAAGTTTCTGGCAATACCCCTCTTAGGGGAGCTCCAAAGATGATGGTGTGTAGTGATTCTGTTTCTCCTTATTCCCTGCTGTCAATGCACCGTTGTTACAGTATCCTAACTTATTTGCCTACTAGTTTTCTCTGAATCATGATAGAAAATGGTGGCAGAACAGCTGATCTAAGAAAACTGGTTACTTTTAAGAATACAGTTAGTATCAAGGGCAATCTACCATGTTTAGAATGGAGTAATGGTGAAACCTTGACTTTTAAATCATGAGTATTGCAATCGAACTGTCCTAAAACTTTTGGTCTGAAACACAGTAAGTTGTATAGTTGCCTTTGTTGAAAACAAATCACTTTGCTTGTGAATCAGAAACATTTATCTCTGAGAAGAAAATTGATGAAAGCTTCAATAAGGAAAAAAGTTGTGTGCGATGGGTTACTTTAGGAAAGATGCCTTAAAAATAGCTCTTTGTGAATTGGCATTTAATTGTAGGTTATTTTGATTGTTACTGGCTTTGTGGATTGATAGAAATATATTCATAACCACTTGTTTATTACACCCATACCACATCCTATTGAAGTGGGGAAAGCCGTACATGCTAATTGATAAATTCAAGTTCTAGATTTGGTGCCCACTCTATTGGTTACTCTTATATGTAAGAAGTTCTGTAGTAATATGGCAATTTAGGGACTCAGTTTGATTTTTTTTTAAAGATTTATTTATTTATGCATACAGAACTGGGGTACAGCCAGAGGCTCAGGGGCGGTGAGAAGCGTCACCAGAGACAGAGTGGGGAGCAGAACAGGCAGATCAATGAAGTACACTGCTGAGGGGAGCAGCGGGCGGGTCAGGAGAGGTCTGCCTGGCCATGTGGTCACCTCCGGGGCAGGCGGGGATCGAACTCATGCGGAAGCGGCTTTTAGATTCTCAGTGCTGTGCTTTAACCCGCTGCGCCACCAGGGAGGGCCCAGTTTGATTTTTTTTAATGTTAAAAATCTAGATTGTTTTAGGATGTTGTGACTTAAGTGGTAATCTTAACATACGAAATAATTTCTAATTGTTGGTCTTTGAGATTTATTGTGTAGCATCTACACAGCAATTCATGTGTTCAGTTCATTGTTTTGACCTAGGCAAACTTAGGGGACTTTGTCAGGCAAGCCCCTTGAAGGCACTGTTTCTCCCCTCATACTCTGTGTGCAATTCTGGTCATTAATTCCTGCAGTAGTGGAGGTGCAGTAGGGTTCAGGGAGTGGTGATAGGGTGTGATGATGGAGATGGAGGAGGTGACTGTAACCCCAGCAGCTGAAATAAAGATCAGCCTCCCTGAGGATGAATTAATAAGACAAATCACACCACTTTG